AATAAATATAAATCACTGTTGTTATAACTATTAGGACATATTACAACAACAATTTTTCAGAAAATACCTGCCAAGTTCCAATGTTCAGTCTTCCATCTGTTATTGGTACCCTGCATAAATAGGATATTACAAAAGATTGTTCATCAATTTTGGCTACTTATAAAACCAATAATGTTCAAAATTCTCACGTGAGGGAGCAGCCGAACATAGATGACTTAATGTGTGCTGGCATGTCATCTGCACCTGTAATTGTAAAGATTACATTACGTAAAATCCCTATCCACATATTATCCGATCAAAGAAAGAAATAGAAATTTTACTTCCATCACGCATTAGATTTTTTGTGGGTTATACTAAAGTTGATCGATTATATGGCGGTGGGACACTAAGGTTGAATAGCTTACGGCACAAACAAATATAATCTATAAATAAATAATTAACATTTCTATATTTCAGTGTGCCATTAGATACAATAACTGCCTTTCCAGATAGAGACATAACATCCCAGTAAAACCAAGTAGAGATGATTCTACAATCGTATTAGATGATCCGACTTATACAGTAATAAAGACAATGGAAAACAAACGAAGGTTCACATGATGAAGCTTCCATCAGAGATATGCTAGCTAGTGGTAGCCATGCTAATCGTTGAAAGTAAATGACCACAAAAATTATAACATCTTATTTCAATAGATAACTCCAGGTGCATTGTTTAACTAAAGGCTTCGATTGCTGATATTTGCATGCTCATGCCTACTAAAGCTTTTACAATTTTAAAGATGCCGGTACGTCTCAAAATTTCCCCATTTTTCTCTTAACTTTTACTCTTAACTTTAAAGATACCTACTAAACCTACATTATATGCGTGTGAAGGAGGATGATTGATTGCAAAGGACCAAATGGTCCTTTATATTATCATCTCATATACTTACTAATGAATGAGTACATCGCTCGACTTACCATAATGTGCATGGTTTTCTTTTAAAGTTTGATGATTGCTAATCATCGTCATGCAATCATTGAAGAATGAAGTATTTTTCAACCAATGTGACACTCCAAAGAAGCAATAATGCATCTACCGTAGTATCAAATTTAAAGAAAACGAACTTTTCTCTCTATAAAATATCCCCTTCTGTATCTTATAATCAAATCGGGACAAGGAATCAATAAGATACCTTCCAGAGTATGCCTCCATGGTGCAGAACTTCCCTGAAATCATTAATCAAAAAATGATATAATCTGTCAACAGTAAAACCCACCATGTAACGATAACGATCATCATAATAATAATAATAATAATAATAATAATAATACCTCTGGAACTATTCGGTTCAAAAATGTTTCTGTGTCATATCTGACATCAGGATCGTAATTTTCATTTATAGTCAAAGAAGCACTTGTATGCTGCACTGTTGTACAGAAATGAATTCAGATTCAGAAAACGTCGGAAAAGGAGGTGGCGAAGATGCTTAAAATAGGTTGAGGGAACTTACAGAAAAAATGGGCAAGGCCACATTTAAAGCCTGATAGGTCTTGTGCAATCTCCTTCAGAATCTAAGAAAAACATGTTGAAAATCCAAGCAGCAACATGTAATCAATACTTGCCAAAAAACTGTTGGGATGAACGTGAATAAAATCTAAGTTTCAACCAAAACTAGAACTGCTGGCAAAAGGAGGAAGGGCATAAGAAATATTTAGCATTAAATGTAGTTATTAAATGCTCGAGAAATGGCATGACCTGGGTGTGTCAAGGCAGATAGTTACAATAACGTTGCATTCGGATGGAAGAGGGTTGAGTTTGAAGATAGTGTTTATTGTTTAAGGGACGTTTTTTAAATGACTAAGATGAACTGAAGTCCACAACTAAAACCCAAAATAAATAATGAAGCTAACAAATAGGATCCTAAGAGAATTTAAAATCTATTTCATCCAAAAGAAAACTCAGCTCAATTGTTAATATGGGCTTTAAAGTCATCAAAAGGTAGCTTAAAAGGATCCCTCCATTTCCTATTACCTGTTTCCGAAAATCACTCAACTTTATCTGTCAATACATCATGAACCGAAAAATTCGCTCCAGGGTGTGTAATTGACTAAACAACATAAATAAAATGTCAACCCAAAGGCTGAAGTTATTTCAATAGTTACACTTTCTGGGGAAAAACTCAGCAGATCAAATTATTGAGTGATTAGATGCAGCAGAAGGATGATTACAGAACATATTTTTTCATTAGAACTGTGATTGAAATATAAAATTTCCCCAAAGTTTAACATTCATTTTTTATACTTTTTTCTTCTCCATCTTATCCACACAATTATAATGTATAAATCAATCAAAACTACACATTGTCCAACTAAATTTACTTTCATTTAGTCACAATATTTTTTTCTACCGATCATTTACAATCATTATTTTTAATAACTCGAGATTTGTTTTTATCTCGTATCCATTCACAAACTTAAAATCAATTCATTCTTCCACCTAAAAGATTTTTTCCCATTTTTTTCATCACTTACTGAGACAATTTTTCCCAAAATAATCCATATCCAATAGCCGAGTCTAGGCGATTACAGCACAGCAAACTCATAGCAGTTCAAATCCAATGGACGCGCGATTCAGCAATTTAACAGCAAGAGCTATGAACTATTGAAGCTTGATTCAGTAATTTCACCTGAGGGGTGACGTCATGGCAGCCTCGCCTCTTTCCGGATATGGTAACAGTCTTCTGAGCCCATTTAGGGACAGTCTCGACGGACGGCGGTGATGCTGCCGCCATGTCGCTCAGACGGCTGCTGATGGAGAGCCGACGCAGCTGATTTAAGCGGCTGTTTCCTGTTACCGATTTTCTCACAGTGATTTTTGTGCTGTGGGCAAGAAATTGCAGTCTGGTGGTGGTGATGGGTTGTCCCGGGCCTCCCGGCGGCCTGATTTGCGGCGGTGGTATTAGCGCCACCTGCATTTTTCCTCTTTTTATTTGCTACAAAAAAACTGAAAATTGGATTTTCAGACAAGTGCACAAATATGGTCTGTGCTGTACAAAAATTATACGAAAGGATATTGTTGAACACGTGTGTGAATAAGTGTGGATGACTAATAAGTCGAATCTAATCTAGTGGCTCTATATATCAAAATTGTTGTGCAATATAGTCTGATTTTTTTGTTCTTTTTTTTTTTCAACAATTTAATGGGATAAAAGTTACTAGGGATAACTCTAGGGATAACAGGTTGATCTTCCCAAAAGCTCATATATGATAAAAAAGGTTTTAGGCCACATACAAATCTCTAACTTCATCTATCATTATATAAAAAGAATAATCTTTTTACAAATTTAGAAATATTTTCCCGCCAAAATCAATAACTATATCCTATATATAGTAATCGTTGGACAAATCTGAATAGGCAAAAAAATCGGCTCATTTAATTGTGTAAAGATTTGTTTCTCTTTGTCCTGTTTTTTAGTTTATCAAAACCGTTGTTTGACAGTAAATATTTGTATTTTTTTTTGCTATTTTTAGTATAAATCTACACGAACTTATCTCTTCTGTTACAAAATCTCATGGCATACGTCTCACGTGTTTAAAAAATCTCATCCCTTAGCTATACAGATTTGAAAAAATAAAATAAAATAGAAATCAATTCATAATTACTACTAGAAATCCATTATCTTTAAAAAGAAAAAATAAAATAAAATAGAAACCAATTCATAATTACTACTAAGAAATCTATTATCTACTTTAAGAAGATGAAAGTCTTTAAAAAGAAAAAATAAAATAAAATAGAAACCAATTCATAATTACTATTAGAAATCCATTATCTACTTTAAGAAGCTAATTTTCATCGGTCTAAATACTAATATTTTTACAAATATTATAAGCTAACCATACAAAAAAGTATAATCATAATTCTGAAATGGTGTGTAATCAAATTTTTTATATTCTCTTATACAAAATAATTTTACATTGTTTGACCCCGAATCTTTAATTTATAATTATTAAGTATTGTTTATCCTCCTCTTTAATTTGTAATTTTTTTTCTTCCTCTTTTTAAATAGGATCAATAGTAGTTTCCACTTCCGCTTTGAGTGACTCAAACTCGAGGTCTATTTATAATATTTTTAATTTAATAATGTTCCCGTGCATCGCACGGGGTACACACTAGTTGGAGGAAAAAGACTGAAAAATCACTTGAAAATGTATTTTTTTGTTTATACTAATGGTTAACGATAATTTAACATGACAATTTTAAAACAATAATTTAAGTTATGAGGAAATTATAGAAAGAAATCAAATAATGTTAGGTTATCAAATGATATTAGCATTTGTAAAAATAATAGCATCATCTAATATGAAAAATAGCATCATATACAATTAAAAATAGCATAAAATCAATTTTTCTATAAAACCGTTGATGGTTTCTGTTAAGAAACCAGTGGCCAATGTGGCATCTAAAGTGTAATTTAAGTTGACCTATTAATTATTTAGGGCACTTGCAACAGGAAAAGAATATCAAAAGCTTCATCCTATCTTCTTCTTTCGTGTTAGAACAATAAACATCTTCATATCTGGCCTAATTTCATTTTTTCTCTGATTTGCGATCAGAATAATAATCATCCCCTTATCTTATCTTCTACAAATTACAATCACAAACAAAAATTTGTCTCTTCAAATTTCTCATAAAAAAAACCCCAGATCACAAATCCACAGCCATTCAATGCTCCTCTTGGAAAAATCGAATGTGCCCCGTCAGTTGTTCGACGAATTTTCCGACCGATGTTTTTCTGTGGAAAGCAATCATCAAGTGTTACTCGACCCACGGTATGTCAGCTGCAGTTCTCGGCATGTACTCGGAAATGCAGCGGGCGCGAGTTATCCCGGTCAGATTTACCTTCCCACTGGTGCTTACAATACCAATGTAACATGAATTGACCAATAGATGAAAAAAAACCCTAAAAATAATATAAAAACTAACTAGAAGAAGTCAGCGTGAGTTGAGTTTTCTCTCTTGTTCACTTTTCAACTATTGTGATTAATTGAGAAAAAATGGGAAAAGAATGGAGAGAAGAAATGATTCTTTAAATTATAATTAATAAACAATTAACATTTACATTTGGTATCAAAATTTATTAAATGAATATATGAGGTAGTGAAAGTGAGAAAGTTGAGCACCAATAGAGAAATTTTCCCTTGAATTCAGTATTTATCAATCCATGTATATTTATCACTACTGCATCACTTTTCTTTTTTCTTTTTTCCTTTCGAAACGTTAGATATTATTTTTTATTAAAAAATAAAATAAATGAATATAATAGAATTAAGTTAGAAATCATTTTGGATGGATAGTTGTGGCTCGTATGGCTCGTACTATATGAGGCACTCAACAAGATTAATAGATTATCTTCAATCAAAACATAAAATTTATTTTCAAACCCATTTTGCTTACTATCACATCAAACAACAATTATTTTAAATTCTATGTAATAACATTTAACTATAAATTGCTAGTTTCAATAATTATTACACATAAAAGATACAAAAATAAATATATGTGATATATACCTGGAATACTCGTTTTTACAATTTAGATAATATTATACATTATATAGTTCTATTTTTAATTTCAATGATTTTTTTTTTATTTTCAAAAGATATTATTATCATTCTTAACTTTTATAAGTATCAATTTATTATCATTATGTTTTATTAGAAAAATTGATTTATTTATTTTTATTATCAATAAATTTTATTAGAATTTATTCTGCATACTCCATCCTTGGTTGGAACCCATTTCGGCCACTACTCACATATTCTTCTGTCAGTGTTATTTTTATCAAAAATATAAACTTCCATTTTACATTAACTAAAATATTCCTTGCAATATTTTTAAATATTGAATTTATTATACTTTCACTATTTTGCAAGATGTGGTGACTGGTGTGTCATCCTATATATAGGTGCCACCCCACTTATAAAATATTTTACACTCCCCACCTATTCATTTGAAAGGATCTACATCCCACTCGATACTCCTACAATATCTACTTTTTATACTTTACAGTAACTATAGATCTTTCTATACAAGTTTTGTTTTTACCACAATATTTTAGTTTTCTAATAGCTTCTTCATGCACCTAGCCCCTTCCCTAAAGTTTTGCGACCTTCCACATTGTTCCGAGTTGCATTAGATACTTTCGAAACGTCCCACAAGGTCCCGGGACATTTACCAAGCTTCCGGAAACTTCTACAAGCTCGAGAATGGTTCTAGGGCTGTTATCTAACCGAACCGAACCGAGCTTAAGGTGTTCGAGCTCGAGTTCGATTAGTTTTCGAACATGTTCGTGTTCGTTCGATTAGTAAACGAAAAAAAAATTTTGTTCGTGTTCGTTCGTTTATTGGTTCGACACGTTCGTGTTCGTTCGTTTATCTAGTCGAACATGTTCGTGAACTGTTCGAATTGTTCGACAACTTCGTGTTCGAGTTGTTCGATATGTTCGTGTTCGTGTTTTTTAACTTTTTTTTTTTATTTTAATATCATACAAGTTATTTTATTTATTATTTAATATCTATTCATATTTATATGTTATATTAGGCTTCATTTACTTTGCATGATGGGATATGACAAAATTATCCCAACAACTTTACAGCTCACCAATCAGTCCCGCGTTTACTTTCGTGGTTGGGATTTGAATAACTAAATCTCATCTTTACTTTGATGGATTAATTGACAAGATAAATAAGCAAAATACCATGTTACCCTTATTTTTGTACAAAATCGAAATCATCTTCTACCTGCCTTCACTCTCCGCCTCTAAGCCCTAAATCGTCCCTCTCCGCCTTTCAACCCTAAATCACCGTGAAGAACTGCGCGACGAGAGATACGAGCTACGTTGCTCCCGACGACAAGCCGGGACTTCCTGAATTCGGCCGCAGACGACATTCTCCCGACACCCAATAGGTAAACACTGGCTTTTCGATTTTTTCCTTTTTCATTTAATTGAAAAATACGCGCTTACCTTCCAATTGACGGAAAGAACGAGGGTATCGGAGTTGTGTGTTTCCCCCAATAATTCTTTTTCCCCCAATACTGCTTCTATTTCGCAAAAGTTGGGTTCTCGTTTGCCCTGCTAAAGTGGAAATCGTTCGAACCCTAGCAGTCCCAACCCAAAAATCGGCGACGAGAACCTCATAAACACGGATACGACTCCATCAATTGACAATCCTGCGGTTGGTTTAATTATTTTCAATTTCTGACAATGTTGAGATTCTACTGATTGTGTACTGTGTTACCATGTTTCACGTATGATGCTAATTGTGAAAATATGCCACACTTAGTCGACAGTTTGTATTACAGTTGGGTCTTTGTTGGTGTGTTTTAATGTCCGAGCTTTGTCTTCTGTTTTGGGTACGGGTTTACCTATCATAATTTGTACCACAAAATCCTATTGTGTATCTGTTGCTAGAGATTATGTGTATTGATGGTATGCAGTTCAAGGGGTTGTATGTGTTGGTAGCCTTTAATCCAAGATTGATATGATTCTCCACTCTTACCATTGAACAGTTCTATGTTCAACATTTGTGTATGCGCAATGGCTTCACAACATTCTCTGTGCTTGGTCAATGAGTTTGTCATATTGTATGAAATTTGTTGTAAAAACCCTTTGGCCAAGTACAATTGTTTGATTGTGTTTGTGGGAAATGGTGAAATTAGTTATGCTTTGGGCTGTAGCCATTGAACCTCGGAGGAATCTATTTATTTGTTTTTCTGTGTTAATGCTTGTAGAAACAGAAATATAGTCAATAGCTTTATTTAATTAGATTAAATCCCTACATGTTTGGCCATGCTCATTTAACTACGTATGTAAGTTTTATTTGTTTCAAGTTATGTTGAGGCTTTAGGGTATTCTCGAGGTTTGTTGTTTAAGTTTTAACTACGTATGTAAGTTTTATTTGTTTCAAGTTATGTTGAAGCTCCAAAACATTCTCGATATTTATTGTTCCATTTTTTTTTTTAATGTGATTGTTGCTATTTTGGATTACTAGACCATTACTATCTTATTCTTCTCTTCAGGCAAGCAACATGTCAAATACTTCTCACACGAGTTCAACCAATCGATATAGCAGTGCCTATACCCCATTTGAGGTTAGGCTGTGTGAACATGACGAAGAAGCCGTTGTGTTGACATCAATGACCCCTGAAAACCCAGCCCGAAGGTTCTTGAAATGCCCTCGCCGAAAGGTAAAGTTTTTATAGTTGACTTGCATGTTTAATGTGTTTTGAAGTAGTTGTTTTTTATCCGAACATGAAGTTTTGCCTCTGATTTATGTTCATTGTTCACAGCCCGAACCGCCTTGTCGCCTATTTGAGTGGATTGATCCCGAGTTGCCGTCGTTCCAAAAGGGTTGTTTCAACAAACTGAAGGCTGAAAAGGATAGGCTGCACGAGCAACTGATGTGCAAAAATGTAATGGAGAAATTGCTCTCGGAGAGGTTGGAGTTAAAAGCCACCGAGATCAAAGCACTGGAAGAGGCGAATATTCGGATGATGACTGATTTGGAGATTGTAGCAATAGAAAATGTTGAACTACAGTCGAGACTTGATGATGTTGTATGTCAAGGTCGAAAGTTGGAGAAGAAGGTCACATTCATGAAATGTACCTTTTGGTTCATCGTTTTTGTTGTTTAACTCTTATGTTTCTTTAAGTAAGCTTGTGTAGAATTAAACATGTTGACGTTTAATGGTAGTCTATTTTGGTTTTGAAAAACATAAGTATGTTTTGTAAACAACTATGTTCTATTAATGTGACAGATGGTCATTGCATGGACCCTTTAGTTGGGTAAACCTTGCACTATGATTTATATTCCCGTTATGTGTTTTCGTATGACGTGCTATGACAGCTCATGGTGGCAGGTCTACAGGTAGGCTGAAGCGTGCTTTTCTTTAAAGCTGAGTTGATTTGACTTCACCACCATGTTGAACATCATGTGTACGTGTCAGGGATGCTAAAAATAATTGATACCCGTATCAATGAGGTTTATGCGTATCTAATTTGGCATGCTAAAATTGAAGATATGTTACATCTCCTATGATATAAAATAATGTTTGACCATCCACGTTAAATTAGTTGTTTGTATGACAGTAAAAATGACATGATATGACATCACTTGCATAGATGATACAATCTATGTCTACAGCATTGTTCATCTTTTCTGCAAAGGTGTCACGCTATGCTAACTCATGCTACGATAATGGTCAATGATTACATGTTTTCTTTAAATAGGTCCTTATCATATTCTCTAATTTAAATAAATACATGCATTATTGGTCCTATGGCATTAAATTTATTTGCATTATTGGTACTGTTGAAAGAGCATGCGCACATCACCTAAGAGACCATGAACAATGCATTGTCTCGTGATCTTTTTCGTAAAAAAAAAAAAACAGATTCCAAGAGACAGACTATGACAATTCACTACACATGACTAGAGGTACCTTTAAGCTAATTCTGCAAATCCGACGTGATTAGACAACACTAGCATGAAGACCAAAAATCTTGCCTTGCAACCTCGAATGCATGATTGATCTTGGTGCCCGAAATTTTTGCTATTTAAACACCGTAATGTAGAACATGTATTCCACAACCGTAGCAGTAAGTAGGCAAATATTACTCAACTGTTATTAAAACTTCAACAATTTCTACTTCATAAAATTGCGATGGCTCCTAATTTTGGTTTAGTGCAGGCAGACTATCTGTACGACCTAAATTGGACACCAAAGTTTGATGACTTTCTTATCAACTACTTACTTGAAGATAAGCTCTGTGGTATCTTTGTTCCTAATGCAGATAATACTGAATCCATACTTGCTGCTACGCGAGCATTCAATGCGTGGTTTAGCACGAGTTTCACGGTGGAGTACATCGGAACACGCGTTGGAGTTTTGGAGAAACGACATGATGTTTTCACGGCTCTGAAAGACAAGGCTGGTGTTCAATACGATGTCGGCCATAACAAGTACCATGCTTCGGGCAGCACTTGGGATGAAATGCTAAGGGTGAGTTTTGTCGAAAATAAATGCGTTTTCATTTGTTATACCAACAAGTACAATAACTTATATTTATTTGTTCCCCAACGTAGTGGGATGACTTTTCTCTGGCGTACATGACGGAAGGTGATCCACATCATAACAAACTTGTGGAGTTGTTTCACGAGGAGCCACCGTACGTAAATCCTTTGCAGTGGTGTATCATTTCTAACAGCGACGACGAAGGCAAGAAGAAAGGCAGCAAGGGGCGTGGCAAAAGTGTTGAAGTTATCAATGTGGAGGAGTACCGTCTAAACCGTCTGCCACCGAGTAGGTTAGTTCCCTACCCCATTCGAACTGACATCCCCCGTAAGAAACAACCACCGCGTCCGGACTTTTATTTGGGTAGTAGTTCAAAGGGCCCAAAAAAGAAGCAATCCATACACAGTCAAACCGGGTCAACTAATGGCTCTGTGAACCAACCCACAAACGACAACTCCTCTCACGGTGCACATGAAGCTGAGGAAAATTCTGTATCTACTGCATGCTCCGTCACTCCTATGGACTACGCGCATGATTGGCCATGGAAATAGCTTCGTCATTATATATTTCCCTTCTATGTTTGTTCTTGTTTCGGTGGTGTATTTTTAATGTTAATTGTGCTTGGTTGTTTGTTTAAGTGGTCTTTACTATGTTTGTTATTGTCTCGGTGTTGTACCCGTGTGTCACTTCATGTTCCAAGTTGTCTGTTTTGCAGTCGTTCTATTGACAAGAAGTTTGTAATGTTATTTGTGGTTGGTGGTTTGTTCCATTGTTTCGTTGTTGTACCCGTAAAGGTTAATTCACAAAATGAACATAGAAATTGTCATAATGAACATAACAATTCGTTAACACAAAAGTATTAAATAATGTCACATCAAAAGACCATAAGGACATAACAAAAGTGTTTAAATGTTTGTCGTACAAATACATGCTACACTAAAATGTTTACCACTCTAAACCGAGGATACCTAAACGAAATAAGTGTAAATACCCACTCCGAATCCTCCACAATGCCATTTTCTTCAAAGAATTGGCGCATATCGCCATCCTTCAGCCGCCTCTTACCATGATTCCGGTCGATAGACATCGAATATGTGTCCCCCCTGAACATAAGCACAATAATGTCTATCTCCGGAAACTGGCCTTCAATATGTGCGTTCCAGAACTGCATTGGTATTGGCTTCACAACAACAAGGAAAAAAAAAATAACATTTTATTATTAAAATTGCAAGAACAATGTATACGAAAAAACATGATGCATATTTTATTAATAAATATGCAAGAACAATGTATAAGAAAAAAATATTAAATTACATAATATTTTATTAATAAATATGCAATCACTTACCAACAGTGCACGCTCGACATGAGTTTTTTTCATTTTTATGCTAAACTGATGCTGTGGAGGCCTCTCAATATCATTAGCCGTGTAGACCTTGACATTGAATGTTCGGAAATCATCTCGTTCAAAATAGAGGTAATACTCGTTACGTATATCCTCTGATTGAATGTAATACTGCCACCCATTGGAAAAATGCAGAAAAGTCCGCGGGCCGCAATCGAGCCCAGACGGAAGCTTGCACATTTCCATTGGGTAGCGACGGCCTTCAACAGTTATGAGAGTAACGGGAAAAGGCATCGCGTGTCGCCCAAAATAACGTTCTGCAACGCTTATGTCCTAAGAAATTGATAATGTCATGTTTATAAATAGTACACAACTGAAGTGGCAACACAAAAAAAAAACCACCCTTAACACTAATGTCGTGTTTAATATAGAACCTTAAAACATATAAATAAATAAAATTTATCCACATTGAACCTACATACTTAGAAATAAAAAAAAATTTACCAGTGTGGGATGGTTTGGCATGTCCATAGGTACGTAGAAACACCCCCATGGCGGATCGTCCCTATAGATAGACATGTTGAACCTACAACAAATCGATTATAACATAATATAACAACGATAACCAATATGACCAACAAGGATAAATATTGTATGCTAACAGTGGCATGCAAAAGACGTTCACCATTACTCATGCAACATACGATTGAAAAACATGTTCACAGTTATTCGAAACACAACACATACTTTTGTTCCAAAAAAAAAAACACAAAACCACACAATAAAAGTTCATACAATTCACATAACAAAACGAAACACGACAATTCTCCATCACAAACACTACCCCCGACCATCACGCATCACCCTCACCATGAGCGCCCTATCGTCTACCCCCAAGCCCATGAACATAGCAAGCTCTCTCGCATTGTTGCACAAACGGAGGCCGATAACCATTCGCTCCTCCCCTGATAGAAAGGGGAAAACACGAAGCGCATCCATTACTTCTGTCATCTACGCCTGTGTCGCCTGAGTCTGGGCTGCTTGCTCGTTCGCCATCCTGGCAGCGATATCAGCCAACTGGCCATCCGTGTTTAGGGAGAACGTTTGAATTACATCGATGAAACGGTCGTCCATCAAGTTAGAGGACCTCCGTTTGGTGCCTCTCGTCCTCCCCCCTCTCTTGGAGCTACCCTCAGACGCGGTACCCGACGACTGACCGACGTCATTCCCCGGGCCACCATAACATGGTGTGGGTGCGTGGTTTGCAATGGGATCTCGTCGTCCTCTTCGTTCGGGAGGTCCTGCTGCACATCTTCAGCTGCGTCTGCGAAAGTCTGTGCCTCATTACCAGAGGCTCTATCTTTCCCAAAGATTACCTCCCAATCGTCGAAGTGAGGGAAAGACTTGTTCCTCAGTCCTTTCGCATGAGGATCAACCTATTGGTCATGTATTTGGTAGCAAAATATGTAATGAGGAAATGTAAATGTTTAGAAATATATAGACGACGCAAGAGTTGGTTTTTTACGTAAAAGCAAACCTTTAGCCAAGCAGTCCACTTCTCATCGTCACATGAGAAGCTTTTGGAGATATCATTCCATCCCATTCCCGAGTTATTTAATTTTATGTTGGCCAGGCTCGCATAAGTTTTCTTCCAAACATGCATTTTGGAAGTTATGTGCGGGTCAGCACGAATTTGACATTCAGGATGAAATTTTTTCATCTTTTTTTCCAACTGAAATGCGTAGCCCGTTCTAAAGCCGTTTTGCGTTTTCCAACCCTCGACTACAATCTCCTTAAGAGCATTAATTAGGGCACCCTCTTCTTGCGATGTCCAAACACGGCGTTTTGAGGTGGAGCCGGTCTCTTTCCCCGTATCCGCTGTAAATGATGGTTCCATAGCAAATATCCTGTAGCGACAATAATGTTGTAGCAATTATTTTTTTCGGTAATAAAGAATTTCCAAATAAAGCTATATGTCGTAAAACAAAATAGCATACTACACAGACACAATAATATGTAATGTCGATAATCAACATAACAACATACTCAACAACCTTGATATTGCATAATAAAAAAAATTCTTAATATAAGAACATTTTTCACCATTACTTAGTGTGCGAAGATTCTTATAATACATAGAGGTAGCAAAAATATGTTTGTTTATCCATTAGGGTACACCGCCCTGCCATTCTGTGAACATTTGTTGGGCTAAGAGATCGCGCTTCTGGTTCCATTCGTGACTGCATTCAACTTGATCTATGTAGTCGTCGTCAGACGTTGGGTTTGAAGGTACCGGAAAATCTGGAATCTCATTCTCTATGGGGTCTTCGGGCATTGTTTTACGTATAAAATTGTGAATAAGCGCGCACGCCATGATAATGCGATTTTGGGTGCGAATGGGGTAAAAAGAGTTACTCCTAAGAATTGCCCATCGCATTTTTAGAATGCCAAAAGCACGTTCAATCGCGTTTCTAGCTTTGGCGTGGCGAAGGTTGTAGAGTTCTCTAAAGTTTTGTGGAGCGCGGGACCCTGTACCCCATTCGTCTAAGTGATATCTAACACCCCTATATGGTGCTAGAAAGCCAGGACCATTAGTGTAACCACCATCCACCAAATAATAGTTTCCTGCGTTATAAACGATTGTGTTATGTTTCATTTAGTGTTTTACGGGTGGGCTATGTTTACACAGTTTATACTATAAATAGGGGAAATACCGTTTGGGACTCGAAGAGAATTTGCCCTAGTGATTGCATCTCTAAGTACTCGATTATCTGCAGCAGACCCCTCCCAGCCACAAAGCATGTACACGAAGTTCATATTTCTATCGCACACCCCAAGTACATTTACCGATAGTTGACCCTTTCGATTCCTATATCTTCCCCTATCTTTCGACGGGACTCGAACGTTAATGTATGTACCATCTAGTGCTCCTAGACACCCCTAACCAAGGAAAAAAATGGTATTAGTTTGGAAATTATTCCAAAGAAAATTTTAAGTGAGCGTTGTTAAGGGTTTTGTGTTGTAGGCTACCTTGAACCATTTCCACCGTTCATCTGAACAGTCATCCTCAACTGGCTGAGGTGTCGCGGCTAGAACGGTATAAAGGCGGATTACCGCATCAAGTACACGATTGAAGTACTTGCTTACAGTTCTACCTGATCTCGTAAAATCAAATTTCAAGGTGACATTCTTCTTGTGATGTGCGAGTATTGACAGAAACATAGCAACTTGTTCACTCGGTGCAACGTTTCTAGATTGAACAAGACCCCCTAAATTTTCAAGGAGGAAACAAAGGCGACCAAAACAGTTTCTATCCATACGGAGGTTTTCAATGCAAGTGGTGTCGCTGACGTCGACTAGCCTTTGCATATGACTCACTTGAAGGGGCACTCTATCTCTCAATCGGTATGTTAGTCCGCTAGTCAACGAACGTCGACGGCGGCGAGGGAGTATGAACTTGTGGTAGTAGTAATTAGCTACTATGAAAGAAAAACGAGCACCAAGAACAATCTCTTCCAAAAGAGTGAGAATTAGTAATTTGTCTCGCACGTTATCCATCTACAAAGATTGAAAAATATACGGACTTCACCCATTCAATGATCTTAATGTTGAACTCTACGGGCAATGGGAAAATATTAGACATCTCAAATGGTGTGAACATGAGCATGGAAAATTCATTTACTTTTGTTAATCTGGGTTCATATTTCCTATGCAGAAAGGAAGTGTTGAATTTTATTCACATAATAATATTTTAAACACCCCACAGTTCTCAGCATCAACTAATTCCAGATCCAAAAATGTAACCTCTGAGCACATTCTCAACATAATATACAGCCACACAATTCAGGAAAAAAACATAACAATGCTTTGAACACAAAACCGAACAATGCATAATAAAGCACAAAAGAAGCAGACCTTGGAATAGTTCCATTAAAAAAAAAAATTGATTTCAAACATGGAAACTGAGGCTGAAAGCTGAAAGCATGATTTGTAACATGGAAACTGAAGCTGAAAGCTGAAACTGAAAACAAAGAGATTGAGATTTGAAATCATGATTTAAAATTGAAACCATGATTTTGAAACTGAAACTGAAAGATTGATTTCAAACCACATAACAAAAAAATTCAGATTTGAAACTGAAAGCATGATTTCAAACCACATAACAAGTTGAAGCATGATTTCAAACTGAAACTGAGACCAAGCAAATCTGACAATGAAGCACGATTGCACCCAATACATTAGCATTTAATACATTACCATTTCAGAGGAATATTTCAATGATATTAGTGATTTTAGGTACATCCTCCCGAATAATGATGGTTCTCATATGAGTAAGAAACACAAGTTAAACAATTGAATACATAACACAGCCTAACAAATTCAAGCAAATCAGCAATCCAAAACCTTAACTCATATGGCATGTTCAAATGACAACTGTGATATACATATAACAGATTCAAAGCAATCAAACACATAGCCTAGCAAATTTCAGTCTATTATTGATTAAACTGAACACATTTTCAACACATTAACCACATTTGCAACATACACATTACCATGCAAAATACATCATGGTTTTATTTCAGAGGCAAATTAAACAAATGCATTACATATCACAGCCTATCGAATGCAAGCAAATCAGCAAGCCAGCAACTTAACTCATATGGCATGTTCAAATGACAACTGTCAGGTGCATAGAACATATTCAAACAAATCAAACACACAGCCTACCAAATATATAACGCACTTATTAATGTACAGACATTCAAATTTGTCCTTTACTGCTAAAACTGAACACATTATGAAGAAAAAAATCACCAAGAAAGAGGCTCCGCAGCTGAAGCTAAACCATCTCATAAAAATGCTACACATGGCTCTTAAACTCTATTTAAAAATTACAACCTAATGCATCCTTTGAAACTGAAACTGAGACCCAAGTTAAACAAACTTGGATCTCACTTTTAGCACAGACCAACACAGCCTAACAAATTCAACCAAAACCAGCAAATCCAGCAACTTATCTCATATGACAAGTTGAAATGACAACTGACAAGTTCATAATACAGGTGAGTTGGAAATCAAACACACAGCCTGATCTTATTCAAACAAATTGAAGCACAGTCAAGCACATCAAACACACAGCCTGATCTTATTGAAACAAATTCAAGCAAAGTCAAGCACATCAACAGCATAACTCAAGCACAAGTTCAAATAACACGTAACACCTATAACAAAGAAGCTATCCACCTAAACCTAGGGCAACAACTAACCTACTGTGACATCCAGCTGTGAAGAGGAGAACACAAGGAAGACATAAATGCATAAAACAATAAAAATCAAACAGGTGTGTGTTAGCATAGCACCACTGAACCTAAAAAAGAAGAAGTAGTTGTACATCTTCATGTCCAGAAACCATAACTTAAAAGTTTGTATGTAGACGGAAAAAAGTCATAATAATTGTCCAAATTAAATCACACATTCTCAGAAGGTAACGGGGCTTACCTGTACCGGCGACGGAGAGAAGCTCAGAGTGGTTGCCGACTGGAGATGGAGGTGAATTCATCACCAGAGAAACGAACATTTTTAGATAAAAAAGGAAAAAAATTAAATCGAATTACGAAGACACAATATTCCCACAAACGGGAACAAATCGAAATTGAAAAGGTATGACGGCAATTGTGGAGCTCACCGTTAGACCCGACGGAGATACCGAACTCTACACCCAGGCAAAAAAATGGACTATTCGTTTTTGCAGAACCTAGGGCAAAATGTGCGACTTCAAAAGTTGTTCAACAAAATTGCGACAGATGAAATTAAATCATTAGAAAAGCAAAGCTTGAGAAAGAGAGGGGCTCACAGTGACGAACAAGAAGCTTCTACCACATAGCAACAATGGCGTCGCGTCGCTCGTCTATGCAGGTAGGGCAAAATGGCCGATTTTGCTTTTTATTGGTAACAAAGACGTAATTGATTGGAAAATAAGGGGTAATTCTGTCTGTTTGCATCAAATATTGAGGGCAAGAAAGGCATATTAAAGATGGGATTATTTTGTCACAGGGGGGAGGCCGGATTTTTTTAGTCCCAGATTGGCCGATAAGGGCGCGCCACATGGGCGCCAACTCAGCATATTCCCATCCCAATCCCGTAAAGTAAACGCAGTATTTCTGGGATTATTTTCCTTATCATGTCCTATCCCACAAAGTAAACGACGCCATGTATATACTATATATAATATATAAAATTATAAAATATTTATGTTTAATTTAATATTTAATATATATTCATATGTATATATTATATTATACATGTATATACTATATATAATATATAAAATTATAAAATATTTTTTTGTTCGCGAACGCTCGATTAGTTCGCGAACATGTTCGTGTTCGTTCGATAACTAAACGAGCTTAATTTTATGTTCGTGTTCGTTCGATAACTAAACAAACGAGCTATTATCGAACACGAACGAACTCGAACGAGCTTTGTTCGCGAACGTTCGGTTCGAAAAACAGCCTTAAATGGTTCTACATGTCTCTTTGATTCTCTGCATTCTTCTTTTTACAGTCCACACGCTTCCGGACTCTTCCACATAGATCTAGGACCTCATATAGAAAAATAAACCAAAGCAAAAAATAAATATATATTCAACCCAAAAACAAGCCGAAACCCCTGGCAATCATCCGAAGATGATCGACTATTCCCACGAAGGTTTTGACAAAGATTCGGGAGCGATAGGACAAGGCGGAGGGGGAGCCAGTAGTCGGCGAGCCGCAACAGTGCATAGGCGCTGGCCGCAACCCATGACCAGACGCAGTCATTGCCCATTTTAGATGATTATCGACCTATCACTCAATCGATCTTATTTCCTACAAAAATTTCGACTTCCGAATAATTAAGATTTGCCTTGTATTAAGGATAGTTTAATTATACTTCCTCTATTCTTTTGCTTAAACTAGATACACTCGTCTTGCGGCTCGTACTTCCCAACAACTTAGAACTATCCAAGTTTTATTTCTAATCAATTTCAAATACGTAAATTATCCTTATGTCTTCTTCTCGAGCGAGTCGTTTCAAAAATCCGTCATCAGATTTAATCATAGGTGGTCGACCCACCATACTCCATAAACAAAATTACATACTCATACTATTAAATGCCCTATTTTGTCAAACTTATATTTGTAAACAATAAAATAAAGATATTTTTACTAATAAAAATGTACATAATTTTACTAATAAAAATGTATATAATTTATAAAAAGAGTATTGACCTTTATTAGAAGTTAGAACGACTCAACACAAGATGCAAATCTCCTTTTTAGTNAAAAAAAAAAAAAAGTCACCCATAGACCACATCAGCAAATTGCTGTGTCCAGTCCAGTTCAATATATCTTTGTGAAGGTTAAATGAAAAAATTAAGGCCACAATCAAAAGGTTAAATCTATATGTTGTACTTTAAGTATGACATTTGACTATAAAAAGATGTATAATTGTTGGAATCGTATGGTTGTCTAACCATTCGACAGCCTTACAAAAAACAAAGACATACATAATGCACTGAATACAGAAAGAAACACAGACCACCAAAGTATTCATAATAGGAAGTACCTTTCCACCCCCCAACAAAAGAGGAAGGAGTGTGAAGAGAGAAGGTAGCTGAAAATTCAAAAATTTAAGTTCCCAAATTAAAGAAAGAGAGAGAGAAAAGGATTATACATCATATTATTATGCTTATATATATATATATATATTGTATCTCATCACAAAATAGCACATCTACCACTTTCAGCCTGCTTACGTAACTCCTCGGTCTCCTTCTGAGCCCTCTCCAAATGCTCCCTCAATTTACGGATTTCATCATTTGATTTCATTTGAGCAGCTTGAGCCATTGCCTCTGCTTTGAGCCTTGCACTTTGCTCCTCCGCAAGTTGCTGCTCGAGCCTATGAGTGGTCTCCTTGAGCTTTGACTCGACCTATATGTATCATCATAAACATCATAGCTAAAAATAATCCACTTAGCGTGTGCTTGTATGCAAATATATCCGCTCAAAATGAGTTTTTTTTGGATAACTAGAATACACTTTTAAAAAGTTTGTGTGGCTAGTTGTTAGTGGGATTTTGATGTTAAATAATATTTAAAATAAAATAATTAAAGTTGATTTGATGTAAAAGTGGGAAGATATGATGTGAAGTGATTGTTAGCTAAAATTATACGAATACATGAATAGTGAATTGAAATTGATGTGATGTATAAGAATGATTGTTTATTATTTAATTATATTAATAATATTGAAGATAGAGAAGTTGAGTTAGATTTTGAATATGAATTGGATAAATTTATAAACAAGCATATATAATTTAATTATGAAAAAGGGCAAAAACAAACCATCTCGGTTATCCTCTTGAGTTGTTCCTCGTACGATTTGTGAAACTGATCCTTTAGATAGGATATCTCTTGTTTCGAGTACCCTTCCATGGCATTAACTTCGGCAGTTTGGTCGTGCAGCTTCATTGCTCCCTTCTGTTGTTGTGCATTTGTTATGATTCGAAAGCAATTGTTATTACAAACATTCTATAGTATCATCATGTATGAAGGTATGAAATATTTATATGCAGTAACTAATAATATGTACGCGCTAACCTTGAGCTCGATAAACAGCTCATCAGTGTATGGCTTCCCACCATTTTTGTCCACAACAGAGTTCACAAGGGAAAGAAGTTGTTTCAGTTGTTTGGATTTCTTGCCTGCCTCTTTCGTCTTGTTATCGAACAGAACACATCTATTGCCACACATCCGTAGAATTTCCTGAATCATGATTTTGGAAAAGAACAAAAGAAAAAAAAATGATGTTTAACAAGACAAGAATTGCAACTTGAGTCAGATATGTAAGGGCGAGCAAAACCGAGCCGAATCGTGCAATTCGCTGCAGTTCGGTTCAATTTTTTTTAACGTAAACAATTTTCGGTTCAGTTTTATTGCGGTGCAGTAAGGTGCAGTTATAGTTTCTCATAAGTTCGATTTTCGGTTTGTTCGGTTTGGTACAGTTTTGCACTGAAATGCACCAAAATGAATAAAATGTATGGAAGAACCGAGATAAAACCGAAAACGAAATCGAACAGTGCATTTCGGTGCCGTTCGGTTCGGTTATTTTAGTGTAACGAAATTTTCAGTTGAGTTATTTTACCTTCAAAGGCTCAGGACAGCTACGACCCAAGTAATCATTCAGAGTTTCCTCGTTTTCTTCCAGGTCATCACCGCCAGTGAAGACCACAACCATATATTCACTAATTTTGCTACCAAAGAATTTCTGCAAGCTCTGCACGGCAGCCTCTTCTTCTCTCGAAAAACGAGACCTCACAGATAACACAACAAGAACAGCATGTATACCATCCTTGGCCATATTAATGCATTTAACAATTTCCTTCCCGATAAACTCAGGCTCAGCAGAAAAATCGAACAGCCCTGAATTTTTTATTTTTTTTTTCGAGTTTTGTTCCAAATTCAAACACATTGAAGTTGCATAATAGAGTTAATACTAAATTTACTGATCTTTAGGGTAATTGTTACCTGGGGTGTCGATCACATTAAGGATTTGCCCTTCTTCAAGAGTTGTGGTCTGCAGCTCACAGGTGCTAGTGACACCAGCAGAGCTAGACATTGACTTAAATGCCCTTCTACCAAGGATACTATTTCCAGTTGCGCTTTTACCATTTCCAGTTCGGCCGACTAAAACTACAGTTCGAACCTCATTTTGAGGCGCACCGAATAACTCCCAATCATCGTCAACTGCACTTCCTCCCATTTGATTAAACGATTTAAACTTTTATCTGCAAAAGGCCAACATATGTATTCATTTAAACAACAGACAGAACAACACACTCCATTGATTCATAATACAACAGCCAAGAAGTACAGAAAGAAAGGACAAAAGCGGGCATCCTTCACAAACTGCACAAATTTCTCAATGAATTAAAAACTACAATTTGGACTGATATCTAATTCACTGACAGGTTGTGAAAAAGATGCATAAAACCCTTTTGATTACTGCTGAACGATAATTCAACATGGGCACCAATGACAACAAAAAAAAAAATGCCATCCGATAAGTGCACAAATTACACACACAGCCCACAACACAAAAACCTTCACACCAATAAAGAAGATAAAATTCGACAACTTTAAGACTCACATAAAATTAAAGTCTGTACAAAATTCACTTAAATATTGATGCACATTAGAACAACCATAAAGTAAAGAAATCAGGCAAAAGCATGAATCCTTCACAAATAACACAAATTTCCCAATGAAATAAGGAAACTCTACTACTTGGACTAATATCTAGTTAACTGACAAGTATGTAAACGATACATAAAGTCCTTTAGATTACTTACTACAATAAATTTACATGGGCACCAGAAAAAAAAAGAGCATACACTCGCCGACAAACATTCTGATAAGTACACGAATTACACACATAGCCCAAAACGAAAAACCCTTACACCAGTAAAGAGGGAAAAAGCAAAAGATTGTAACTTTGAGTTAGGGAACACAATACGATTACTCGAAGATCAAATCCGCCAACCTTACGAATCACAAAATGTTAAAGACCCACAAAATTCTCAGTAGGGCACATGAATTAAGCATCTAGAGGTGGGAGAAAAATTCGAACGGTAACCATACATGATACATCAGTAATAATAGATCATTATCATGTCACAACAGAAAAATTGGATTGTTCTTGGAGAAGAAAAGCGAGTAATTCGAGATGACCTGTTCAAGAGATTGGATGAGAAAACGGACGGAGAGAAGAAAGCCCAGATGGAATGGTGAAGTCTTTGTTATATAAAACTCCAAAAATAATTTTATATTCAGCTTAAAATAATTTTTAGAAATCTTAATAGTGAAATTTGATGGTAAAAAACTAAAAATTGACATAGGTAATTTTTCTTGAACCAAATCTTAGAAAAGTCTGACAAATTTGACATCCTTCTTTTTTTTTTTCTATTTTATTTTTTCCAAAATAAATTTATTTATTTTGTTTTTTAAGAAGGAAGCTTTTTTTCTTATAGTTGTTTAAAAATTAGAAAAAGACATGATAATTAGTAAAAACCAAGCAAGATACATATGTGAGGCTGACCTTTGATATTTTATTCAATACTTCATAAGTTCATATAAGCTATTTATTTTAAAAACATTATTGATGATTGAATTTAATATATTCTTTTATATATATTACGTGATCATTTCTATGATTTTATTTTAAAAACATTATCCCAATCTTTAATTGTTGCTTAACGATTAAAAAGGGGGAAAAATGTTCCTGTTGGGCTTAATTAACTGTTTCCAGAAACATATCTTTAAAAGTGGACCAAGAAAGTGACAATATTAATCCAAAACCAATCTTTTGTTTCAGTCTGAAAATTGGGACCAAAACCAATAAAAATTAGCCTGTTGTTTATGGCCACAAATTGAAGCTAATATCCTTTTTCTTCCTAACAGATAATTTAGAGTACAGATATTTATGATGCTTACATTCTATCTAGTCATCTCTCTTTTCTTCTTGTTCCATAATCCATAAATCAGATAAAANGAAAAAGAAGATGGATTTGAGTTCAGTTTTCACAGCTCCACCTATTATCAAGCTGCAGAAAAACTTCTTACCAGAATTCAAAGCTCTTCCACAACTTCACTTCACTGTAAGTAGTTACAAAAGAATCTCATTTGTATCTCTTATACAATAGAAATCTGATTGTCATAGAGTGAAAACTATTGGTTGCATTTGCATCATGTTTCTGTTTTACCATAAAATATTTTCACATTCTCTCATATTTTCACTTATTAAAACATACAATTTTCGACGAATTTTCTTGCATTTCTGGCACTTCTGCTAATCATATTCAAAATTGAACATACTCCTTAATTCCATTTGTCGTTGAACCTCCTTTAAGCGCCATTTCGTACATTTTCGTCATATTTTTCACTTTCTTTTCCCCATTCATAGGATTTTGGTTCATATTCTCATTTTTCCACTAGAGATTGCAATACATAAACTTGGTAGATAGAGAATTTAAGACTAAGACAGTGACTTTCTAAGAAGAAACAGTATTAGCTAGAATTTGTTAGACTACTAACTGTAAAACTTCAGCTACTCTGCAGAAAAGCACAAAGCATATGCAAAAACAGTTGCTTTCGGTTCGTAAAAGCAGAAAAAAATTCAGAGTGTGTTGCAGCCAAGTTCAAACAGAAGACAACACCGAAAGCGATGAAGACTGTGAGTTAGTGAATGGGACCGAACTAACCATTGGGGAAGAAACCCGAGCATATCTTTTTACGGCCGTAAAGAACAATAATTCAACCGGGATAATTCTCTTGTCAGATATTTTCGGTTTTGAAGACTCGGCCACTCGGGATTTCGCATATCGTGTAGCTTGCAACGGTTACAAGTAAGCTCAAACACGAACAACTTCTATACTGTCTTTCTCGGTTATTAACTTTGCTCACTCAAATCGTGCCTTGGAAAAAAAATGCAGCGTGCTAATTCATTGAAATTTTTATTTTAGCTAGCTTATCAGCTAATTTTACCAAACACTTTTATCTTATAAGCTAGATTTTAAGCCATATGTCATAAATTATCTCGAAAATCACTTAAAAGCTATAAGCTAGCTAACTATAAACTACTTTATCAGCCAAATTTATCAAACATAGCCTCAAACCGTGCCCTGGAAAAAATGCAGTGTGCTGGTTCCGGATCAATTTTACGGCGATCCATGGACAAAAGACAGACCAAAAGCATTGCTCGAAAAATGAATCGTCAAGCATAGCTCGGAAAGCAAAAAAGCAAAAAACGTCATATTCGAGTCAGCGAAATGGATGGTTAACGAATTTGCATCCGTAGGAATATCAAACAAGCTCGGGATTATCGGTTTTTGCTATGGAGGAGGCCGAGTCATCGAAATTCTAGCTCAAGACCAAGGTGAATTTTTTGGGTCGGGTGTCTCGTTTTACGGCACGAGGATCGATTCCTCTGTTGCTAGCAATATTAAGGTGCCATTGTTGATGATCAGTGGTGATGATGACGAGCTTTGCAATATTCGTGTTTTGGAGGATTTTACCAACCGTAATAAAGAATTTACGGAGATGGTGGTTTTCAAAGGGAGAGGCCATGGTTTTGCTCATCGGCCTCAGACTCCAGAAGATGATGCTGATGCAGAGGAAGCTTTTGTGATGATGAGAAATTGGCTTCAAGATGGACTTCTTGCAAAAAGATGAAAAAGGCACAATGGGTTTTTTAGTCTTCTTGCTATTATGTACCTTCTCCTTCAAATAACTCGATGCCCTTCAAAATTCGGTAGCACACAAACATTTTAACCCCGATTTTATAACTGTACTCTTTTTCTTAGGTTTTATTTTATATATTATCATCTTTTGAAAAGTAAACACCAAATACTGCCTTTGGGTGAATTTCAACTCCTAAGGCTAATAGTGTCCTTTGAGTCCTGAGGTTTGTGAAGTGCTAAAACAATAAAAGAACTCATTTTCAAACTGGTTAGCCAACTAAATTACTATTTGTGTTGGAACTTAATTTTATTTTCTACAAATAAAAATTTAAAGCCCCAAAAAATTTAAAGCCCCAAAAAATAGACATGGAATATTTGAACAGTATCACAGATTAGGTCAAACAATTTGTTATAGATTTATTCTATCATTCACAGGTCAATGTTGATGAACTTATTAGGAATTTGGAGAATATGCCATCATCAAATATCATACCATCACATCTCCCCAAACTCATTTCACTAGGATAAGAATACAAAACAGTGATGGCACTCACAAGAAGTTACGAATTACAACATAATCCGTGATCGAAAAAGTTCGAAACTGCCATACATAACAGAGAGAACCAGCCAAAAAGAAAAACGGAAGTTCTAATTCACGAAAAGCCATCGGCCGATGGTAACTTCATTCCTCGCTCTGCATAAATCATAGAAGATCTCATAATTGTTAGTTTCTTCAGGAAACCACAATATCAAGGTTAGGAGAGGACTAAAAGAAGAAGCACGTGCAGTTGAAAACTCAAACATATGCTGATTTTATGGACAAGAAGAAAACCCCAAGAGGCTGAGACGTTTTTTAAAGACATAAAAAAAGGCAGTAAAATTTGTTAAACTTCAGCTGCGTTTTAGACCCAAACTCATATATAAAACAATGATCTCACCAATCCACTGCATACTTGAAAAAATCATAGGTGAAAAATATATTCAACACCAACCGATCATATACTTATTATATGACTAGAAACTTCATATGTTTTACATAATGGCGAAATCTCAAATGAAAGCAACATTGTATATATGAAATTACAAATAAAGAAGTAATACACTCCAATGGCCAAACCTGGATAAAGAGTCCAAACAACAACAGAATAGCCAAAAGTAAGATACCTTAGAATTAGATTCATCAGAGATGAAAGGGGTTAATTTAGGTGGAGATCCACCAAAGATATGAGAGCAATCTGTGTATGCAGAACCAATACCGACTCCAGCAGCAAAGGCTACAGTTGCCCAACGTGTCACAGGACTCCCTATAGAACAATCAACTTAAAAATGAGCCAAATTGTTTAATTCAAATGGAATCACCTTTCAAATCACACGGGCACACAACATAACAAATGCCATAGCTACTATCTATGGACTGGACATAACTTAGCATAACAAAGTAATAACGTCAAAAATTCGTAGGCTTTTCATTAGCAAGGCAAAAGAACTTGAATATTTACTGGTTCTGCAACAATTTGTAGACAAATAAACGACTGCACTTGGTTATTATCTATGTGCTCGACATAAGTTAGCATGACAAAATAAAATGGATTGAGAGCCAGATTAAGATAACTCTTTTTTAAGGCAAAAAATTTGTAGGCTTTCCATTAGAAAGATAAAGAACTTGAATATTTACTGGTTCTGCACACAATCTGTACACAAACAAACGACTACACTCTATCTGATTAAGAAGTAACAAAGGAGTTTAAAAGTTCAACATATCCATAGTGTGAATGCATAATACACTTCACACCAATAAATGTAATCTGCAATGTCTCATTAAAGTGATCTCCCACGCGAACATTGGCATCACAACATCATCTTTTTTTTTTTATTAACCATGAGCAAAGATGCAACCTTACGGTTAATTATGATTTCTAATGAAATAAAACCATAACTGCAATACCACATGAATTGCTGCTAACATTAAAACCAGCTACAGAACATAAGGTAAACAAAGTAGTAATGGAGATGTCATGTAGTGAAAGCCCACATTTTTCTTTCCATTCCACACCAAACAAACGTGAAAAGCAGAGAAAAAAATCAAATATATACACAATGCAAAAGCAAATAATTCCAAAGGTAAGAAACGCAAAGACAGTTCAGACTCAACACCTGATAACAAGCAAACAAAAGGATTTCATCTATCCGTCAATCAAACTACACCAAGCATCACGATCTAACTGAACCCATACAAAATTCGAAAATTCCCTTTCAAAAATTACGAGCTCAAAAACCTAGAATTACCAGCTTTAGCAAAACGCGCAAATTAGGAAAAATTACGGACGAAATGAGGGGCGACTCACGGAATAGAAGAAGGCCTGCGCCGGCGCCGGCGAACGAAGAGTAAACGAAGCGGCGGAGACCCAAATCGAGGCACGCATCCCATTTCGCATTCAGATCGTACTTTGCAGGCACCGCGACTTTGCTTTCATCCGCCATTGATGATTACTTTTGCAGGTAAATTTGTACAAACTGTTTGTAAATTTGTGTTGATTTTAAGCTTTCTTGTTAGGAATTTAAGAACTCTAGGAGGGTGCCGTTTTGTGCCAGAGGATTCTCATCGACGACGAGTGAAAATGTTAAACGAAAATATTATCGGGTTTCATTATCCTTCATGGGCCAGTTAGCCTAACTGTGAAATCCTTGCTGTGGGCCTTAGAAGCCCATCATAGTATGATCCTCTCGCTCATGGGCCAGTTTTTTTCTTTTTTTTTTGTGTGTGTGTGTGTGTGTGTTATATTTCACGACATTTTTTCATGTTTAGTAATCCTATCTTTATATATAAATGGAGAGTTTGTCTTAAATTGCAGTTACTCGAAAAAGATCAAAACAAAATGGATTTTATAATTGCCCACTTTCACAATATCAGTTAACATAACATGTGTTTATGATTACCCGTCTTACATGTTTTTCCTATTTTTACGGTATTTTCGACCTATTTCGACTAAGACTCGACTCCAACTATTTAAGAGACACTAGAACACGTTTTTTAGGGAGTCAGGGGAGAGTTTTTCAGACTTTTGGAGACAAGAAACACGAGCAAGACGAGCTAGAAAGACGGAAAGAAGAGATGGAGCCGAATAAACATTTTTTTTTTCTTTTCGCTTTTCGAACTCAGTGTTCTATATATATATATATATAATTATATATATATATATATATATATTTTTATTTTAGAAGCATGTTTCTAAGCTAGTTTTATCTTATATTCTAGAATTTGTTAGTACTCGGATGATTTATGATCAAGTTTTTATTGCTTTTATTCCGATTCATCTTTAATTCGTTTATAAATTTATTGTGCTCATTTTTATTGTATGAGTAAACGGCCGCTATGAATGCATATTTGTTATTGATTTGAGACCGAGGGGAGATAATTAATTGCTCAAATTTGGAAATTTATAACGCAAGAGAATAAAAAAACCGAGAGGTTGTTAGGATCTTACGAGAGAACGAAAATTCTTGAAACTTATGGAGTTAGCTGTTCATCTTGAAATGAAATCGAGAGGAGATAGATAGCAATTAATCTATGATTTAACATGTTCGAGAGAAATATTAAATTAATTTAGCGATTACCTCTACTATTGGTAAAATTAAATTAGGTTTGAATCAATATAAACGTTTTATGAATTAATTCTGAGGAACGCTTAGCCTAGAATATACTTTTCGTATCTTATCTATTCTATAATTTAGACCAAGTCTTTATTTCTTAGATAAATTAGCTTTTAGTTTAATTATTAGTTTATAATTATAATTCAATTCATTAGTCTAGATAATATTGAGTCGTCATTATTTTAATATTTAATTATTTAACTACAATCTCTATGGAATACGACTTTGCTCGCTACTACCTATAGCTACGTCGTACACTTGCAGATAACAAAAATAATTAGCGAATAAGTGTTTGACGCAGGAGATTGTTTGTTGAATTAATTAATATTAAGAGAAAACAAGTAGATAATAGTTTAAACATTTTTTTTATTTTATTTTATTTTTTCTTGGACTCGTTTATTTGTTCTATTCTTTATCGTGTGTTTTTAGATAGTGCATAATCACGAGATCGAGTGGGAACACACCCACACTGTTTGATCCCGAGATTGAAGCCACTTGCCGGAAAAATAAAGCGAGTAGGAGACGAACAAAGACCAAAGCAAAAACAACTATAAGAAATAATTGTAATATAATATTTTTCTAGGTATAATTTAGAATATACCCCTAACCACACTTATATACCATTGTCCCACATAGGAAAACAAAAGCACAAAACACCCGTGACAAAAAAACAAAACTAAGTACCCACCACACGGTGACCGTTGCTAGTGAAAGACTTGGCACAACACACAAACCCCAGAAAACCCACTGCATTCAACCCACAAAGCAACCAATAGAAATAGTCCAAATGCGCCCGGTTCGTATTATCCGCGAACCACCCGACCCGCCCCCCCTCGCTCGTCGCCCTCTGAATCACGCAAATCAAGAAACTGCTCAAGAAGCTCCCGATCCCGATTATGCTCAAATAAACCGACAAGCCCACGGCCTTCAACCCGCACGGCGCCTCATCGTAAAACACCTCTTGAAGCCCGACCAACGCAAACACGTCCGCCACACCGTACACCACGTTTTGAGGTACGAGCCACCAAAAGCTCATCGGGACCCGCGCGCTCGGGAGATCGGACAATCCGTGAAGCGAAGCGATTTCGAGCCGCCTGTGCTCGACGAGGGCGGCCGTGGCCGCGGACACGGTGCATAGGAACATGCCGGTGCCGATTCTTTGGAGGGGCGTGAGGCCGGAGGGCATTTTGGTAATTAGACGGGCGAGGGGGACGAGGGCTCGGTCGTAGATCGGGATGGAGAGTATGATGGTGAGGCCGACGGTGTATTGAAGGGAGGCCGCGGGTAGGTCGAGGTTCGGGCCGAGGGCCCGGTCCATGGTGATGGCTTGTTTGGTGTAGAGGGTCGAGGGTTGGGCCATGACGAGGGCGAACGGGAGGGACGTGGCCCACAAGGGGAGGAGTTTGGAGAGTGGTCGGGCATCCTCGGTGTTTCGGGTGGGGTCGTGGTCCGTAGATACATTCGGAGTTAGTAATGCCTTGTTGAGAAACCTATTAACCGAAAGACAATTATGATTACGACATACGATTTCAACAATAATGCGTAAGTTTTTCACAATTTGAACAAGAATGCGAATTTTTTTAAATTTTGTTACGACAAAACGTGTTCCTATCGAAGTAATTAGCTCTGTTTTAATAAAGGACGACAACGGGAGACTAGAAATATCTCGTTAAAAAACAAATCGAAATTTTGTGAGATCAAAATTTGTTGGCTTTTATACGTTTCATGTAGAAATTATCAATTTTTCTCCCATCAAGAGTTAATTACTTGAATCTACAATCTAAGTCCATATAAGTACCGATTAGTGTGGAAATCAACTTCCCTTTATATCCAATATCTCGAGAGTTGGTCAAATCTACTATGTATGTCCATATAAGTAGAGATTAGTGTTCTCATTCATCAAACTTCTCAAATAATTTTGGACAATAGGACTGAAATCAAGGTCCATTTTTACATTTTCTTCAAGATGATGATTATTAGAGTACAAATTTGGACTTTTTGCAGGGCACTTTTTTGCCACAATCATGATTCAAATTGCTATTGAACTAAATTGAAATTGCAATGTGTTATGAGAAAAAAAAAAATCATTATTGACTATTGAAATTAAGAGTGATTAATCGTAATAACTCTTACTTGAATTGCCGAGTACGAAGATGAGGCATCGAATCCTCCTCTTCTTCGTCACAAGCACTTGTCGAAGATAGAATTCTCCAATTCGTAGCCGCTTTAACAAGGACTCGCCCAACTCTCATAAGCGCACAACTCTCGTCCGTCTTCACCCGATACCGATAAAACTTGGCTCCGAGCATTAATATTCCGAGCCCGATTGCCATAGCAACACAAGGGATACCAAAACCGATGCCCCAACTCACGTTATCTTGAATGTAGTTCAAGACCAAAAGGGCAGCCAGGGGACCCGCGCACGAGGCAAAATACCACCAATTGAAAAACGAGCCACGACTTTTTAACTCCACGGGGTCTCGGTCGTCGAATTGATCGGCCCCGAAGGCCATAATGCAAGGCTTGTGCAACCCTTGCCCGATCGCCATCAAGTACAACGAGACATAGAAGAACAAAATGTCGAGCGGGCGTGGGGCCTGCAGATTTGTGTCGAAGCCGCCTCCTTGTCGGAGGATGAAAGCAGATGTAGTCAACAATCCAAGTGCCTACAGTTAAGTGAATGAGCTGTAA